TGGATAAAACTTGACCTATATGTTGAAATTATAAATCAAAAATTCTGTAAGTTTTAATAATTTATTCTTCTGTACTACTGACGCTTTTAAAAAAACAACAACTTTTTGTTGTGTTTTTTTTTTTTTTTTTCTTTTTTTACTCTTCTGATGGTGTGAATATAATTGGCTTTTGACCAAGTACGTTATTTTTTTGTTTTTTCTCTTCTATAATACATATCTATCTGTACGATCGAATATACAATGTGCGCATTAGTTTTCAATCTGTCAAACGTAGCGTATAGAATAGAACAACGTGTCTACAATGGTACTTATATTTATATGTTTTACAATTATATATAGATTATGAAAAAAAAAAAAGGAAAAATTTTCTCCTCTTTTTTGAAGAATTATTTATAAATAAGTGTATTTATATTATTTTTTGAAACAAAAACAAATAAAATGCTGTATATGGGATTTCTTTTGTAATATTCAGTTCAAATATCTCTATATCGGCTTTGCCCGACTATTGAGAGAAAAAAAAAATACAGAGAATTGAGAGAAGAGAGCAGAGAGTAGAGGGTAGAATCATTTGGTGCGAAAATATATAACTACGCATATTCTCGTTTTTTTCGTTGTTATTTGGATTGATGCCAATTTTTTTGACATGTAGAATAGAAAAATAAACACAGTATAGTAGACGAGAAATAATGCAGAAATTATAATGACATCACACTAGAAAGCAATTAGATACTATTTTTTTTTGAGTTTCAAAACAAATTATTGTAAAAATATAATTTCAAATATTTTTTTGACGCACCAACAAATTTCTCTTGCGATTAGACTGTAGATAGATAATTGGCAACTATATTCTTGTTGGTGATGATGAGGTTCAATTAAGAATTCTACAAGATTATTCAGTAATTCTCAATTAGAATCCAACAAAAAGTGTGGAAAAGATATTTTACTTTATCGATGTAATTTTTTTCTTTCCGATTAAAAAATGACAAGCGAAAAGTCGCTAATTCTTTAAAATTGAGATATTTAGAATGATCTTGGTGTATTTCATCTCTCCGCTGAGTGACATGAACGAGACACGAGAGAGAGACACAGAGAGAGAGAGAGAAACACCATCTATGTATGTATTAAACTCATTAATTTGAAAACAGCTTTCAATTGTATAACGCTTTCTCTAATCACTACCTTTTGTGGAATAATTTATAATTACTTCTTTACAGTTGACTCGTGCGCGATAGACTCTATTTATTAAATGAAAAGGAATTTAATTGACTTCTTCTTCTCTTCTGATCATTCATTTATGATCTAATCTTGCGATTCTTCCTCCTGCCAATTATTATTGTCGTTTCTGAAGTAGGATACTACCTAAGGGATCGTTTTTGATGTTGAATAATAATTAGAATGATAACCAATGCACATCTTTCTGCCGATACTGCTCATACCAAACATTTTGCACGGATAAACTTATTTGTGGCACATATACGTAAAAAAAAACAGTATCCATCTATTAAACAAACGCATTCATCATTTAAATAAAGACAGGAGATGTGCAAACAAAAAAAGGATCAGAATAAAAAGAGAGAAAAAAGATGTTATTTCTTTCTTCTTCTTCTTCTTTTTCTCTATGGTAAACTTAATAGTACTTTTGACGTCGATATTAATAGTAAAAAGCTATTCCTGTCATTTATATTGGATACAAAAGTAAAAAATGATGCCGCTACAGTGTCAGCAGTTGTTGTCAAACTTTTTTTTTCTTCTTTTATTCAACATATGGTAAGAACCGCGCTGCAGATGGTTCCAAATATAGATAAATCAGTTTCAATTTCTTGTAGTAATAAATATCATGAAGCTTCCTTTTTCTATTATTCTGATTGAATAAAAAAACAGGAACGATCCTGATATAGTGGCATGGTAATGGTACGTGTTTATACGAAAAATAATAATGAATGTGTATATGTGTCAAGCTATAAATTATGTGTTCGCATTAAAGACAAAGAAGAGAAAGTATGTTTCAAATGAGCAATTTATCTTGTTCATCAAAATTAAAATATTTTGTACGATACATGGAAAATCAAACGCAGATTATTGGAAATTTGGTGTCTGATAGAAGTGAGTTTTATGTAAATCTCGTCGGGACACTAGACTACTGGATAGTTTGATGTGTTACCAATGTATCGAAACTATCGTATTTACCAAAGTTATTCGATGAACGTAAGTAAAATGGAGAAAAAAAAATCATAGCACTTAAAAATGAGTACCCACGCAAAGTCAAAATAAAGTGAACATAAAGAATCCAAGGATAGAATAGTCTTTTCGTTTTTTTGAGTATGTACATTGATAATTAGATTTAAAAAAATATCCGAAGAATAATACAGAAATACTTTATACATGAAATACCCGTATGGACAAGGGAGACTATGAGTGTCTGTTGTGAGTGGAACGTAGAGAGAGATGTAAGCGAAACAAAAAAATGATGTTAGGGGGTGGATCATATCAATAGCGCATATACGTGTACACTGTTTTTCCTCTACTAAATATATCGTTTTCTTTTCAATGCTTATTTTTATGAATTGGGTTTCTTCGCGTATTTTTCTTTTTCAGTGTTCGTTCTCTGCCTCTCTCTCTCAAAATATATATGTGGATAGATGTGTGTGTGTAGTAAAATTGTCAAATTGAATGTTGTAGTCTATATCGCGTACTCATACACACACACACATATATAAAAGATAATTTCACGATGGTCGGTAGTTTCTAGTGTTTTTTTGTCCGTTTTTGTGATTTTACAGATATAAAGTAGGAAGAGAGTATGTGTGATAGTTTCAATATTGAAACAACTAATAAAAGCTCGGTTTTCTGCAAATTTAATTAATTATATTGATAAGTTTTAAGCTTAAAAAAAATCAATTCTGAGAAAAAGTACTGCCTTGACCAAGTTCAAGTCTAACGTATTCATCCAAGGGGAGAAAAGGCGACTTTTTTCTTTCTTAGCATCTCTCAGCACAACATCGTACCTCAAGCTTAGGAAAGCATTTCGAGGGCTCTGGAAAGTTTCCTACGCCGCTTTTGTTCCCTTGTATTCATCGCTCTCTCATATTGAAAGATATTGGTCAAGTAAATCCTTTTCACAACTAACGTTTGCATGAAGTTGTTTTGGTTCTTGAGTCGTAAATGATTTCTCTACAAAATCCTTTCTGTTTTAAGTAATCCAATTTTTTTTTTTGTTCTTGTTTATTTTTTTTTCGCTGAGCATGTAAATATGAACTCGAGGGTAAACATCAGGTGTCAGTATTTTTCTTTTCGAGTTTTTTTTCTGCTGACTAGTGTGATGAACTCCTATAACGAAAAGTGTTAAAAAAAAACTCTATTCTCTTGTGATGTTGACCTTACATTGTAACATACAAGATGTAAAATATTCAATATATCTTTGTCATGAATATACATGTTGAAGAAATACCGAATTCACAAAAGACTGAAACTCAAGGTTTTTTTTATCAACTTGTTATTTATCATTATCTAACCACCATATATATAGACTAAGTTTGAGATAAATGTGGTATATATTCACTCTAGAGTATACCTGTCAAAAAAAAAGAAAAAAAAGACGCAAGTTTTCTAGTGGAATAGTAGTGAGAGATCAGCAATTTTATCGACAGAATAATTTCCAATATAGTTTGGTCAAGAATGTTCATATTATTAAGATTTTATGATAAAACTAAAATTTATTGCACATTCGCATGTATAAAATAAATAATAGAATATATTTTCTGTCATTTTTTTTAATGATCTGTATCTTTCTTGTTGAATTTCTGCGCCATCTATCTCTTCTTAGAACTTTTCTTTTCCGTCTGTCATTTACATGCGCAGGTGTGTACACTGAGAACACAATAGGCCTAGAATAATGCCCAACCATGAACAAGTATTTCTGCGAATGAGTCATTTGTTTATACATATTGAAAATGAAATGTCTTTATTTTTAATTCTTTTACGTCGTCGTCAGAGAAACGTATTGAGTGTGGATTGCAGATAATGAAGAAAAATATGCGTAGGTGTGGAATAAGAACTCAGGAAGATAAAGAAGCTTGTTCGAGATAGATAAACGAATGAGCCATAGGAGAACAATGTGTTTTCCTTTATCCGATCTATTACGGATGCTATGCATATTTTTCAATTTTTCCTCAAATTGAGTTACTGTTAAGCTATTTGTTAAAATAAGTTCTGATGTTCATTGTGTTTGTGACACTTTATCAAAATCAGTTTAGTACCTAAACTTTGTATATGATAGAAATTTTTATAAATTTCTGATATCTTTCGTTTATAGTGGAATCATAGAGTGGTAATGCGAAAAGATGAAACAAATATTTTCTTTCTGTTGAAAACGGTTTTGAAACTAAGTTAACAAATGCTTTTCTCTCTCTATTTGATATTTGACAAGATTTTATTTTACTTTGTTGTTGTTTTAATAATTGTATTATGCGGTTTGACTTTTTATTTCTCTTTTTTTGTATAATGATATTGGTTGTGGGTGATCTTTTCTTCATCATATTATTAATCTTTTAAATATATATTTGAATATTTAAATAAATGTAAAAAATTATGTGGTAACTTTTTGAAAGTAAGATATGATTTAAGCGAAGTTTTGTGAGGTTTCTCGCAAAAGATTTTCAATGTCAGATAACTGAAAATTCTGAACGCCAGTGTGGATGTTTACAAATGAATCATCAGCTGGGTTCACGATTGCTTTCGCAATTTTTTTGCAAGACAACAACTTACAGTCTCCTAATCAAGAAGTTCGATAATTATCCCTATACTTATGATTGAAAACAAACGGTTTGAGACATGGAAGTATTTGATACCACAGTAGTCTTTTAAGACTGAAGTGATCTAGAATTAATATTTCTCTTTATCCTCAAAAGCTATAATACTTGTTATTTTGTTTCTCTCTATTTAGTTTGTTAATGTTCTAGATCTACCATCCATTGTTCTCATTTTTTTCGTTTATTAAAAGTATGCAAGAACGTGCCCATACATTGCCATTGTTTTCATTATCTCGTAATGTACATAATCAATCGTCAATGCCGCCCGATTCGAACATAAATAATAATAACAATGATAATTTCGATGATCCTAGTCGTTCACAACAAGTATTCGATTCAGCAAGTAATTCAACACCAGAATTAAACCTTCTACTAGATAAATTAACAGAAATATTAAGATTTCGTAGTCGTCGACATTTACTAACGTCACATCATCATCATTCACAACATACATCGGGCGATAAATCAGGAACATTTTCATCTTCATCATCGTCATTGGCAACGGCAGCTGTCACCGGTGGCGGTGGAACAACAGGAACAGTTTTAAAACGTTTACAATCGGGTTCAGTTGAACCACTAGATGATCGTTTAACTCGTACCATATACCATAATGCCGGTGTTTCATCAATGAATTCATCATCACATTCAGCTAGCGCTTCATATTATTCACATCAAACACAACAAAAATCATCATCGCTATCATCGACACAATCGAGAAGAACAGATATGACTAGTGGAATTAATGAGAAAACAAAACGACGATTACCAAGTCTACTACAACGGCTCATTGATGAAGGTATATATAGAACCCATTATAAATGATTTCACTACTATTTAAACGATTGTTTTCCTATGGAATACAAAACAAAATTTCTTTTAATCTCGTTTAGGTAACTTAATCAAAGAAGCTGTTCGTCGATTAAAAACTCAACGGTTCACACCTCAATTTAAACAAACCACACCGTCATCGACACCAAATCACAATCAACAACAACCAACGAACCAGACACCAACAAAAATAAATAATATTCTACAACAAAAACAACAAATGCCGCCACCTCGTCAACCTCCATGTTGTTTAACGCCGAATACTCAAAATGGTATTATGATTCCGAATCAATTAAGTGATCCACCGACACAAACAACATCGTCACCAAGTCGTTTTAGTTGGATACCATCCGCTGTATTTGGTCTTACATCGAGTAATTCAAGTGGTAGTGGGAGTCCATTACGTAGTTGTTTTAGTCATGATCGAACACCAATGGAAATCGGTGGTTGTGGTGGTCCAATTAGCATTACGGGAGGACAAGAATATCAGTAAAATGCAAGAGTGGTATGTTAATGGTTCTATATGCTTTAGTCAGAGCGCCACAAAAAAAACTCGTCGATGTAAACAAGAATTGATAGAATATTGGAGATTCTGAAATTACATTTTCGTTTAAACATGTATTATGAGTTACTTCTGGATTTCTGTAACGAATCTTTACAACTTGTATTATGTGAAAGTAGAATAATATTTCGGATAAGATGCATTAGTCGTCTTTGTAACAGATTTTGTTAGTTGATTGAATCTTCTGTATCTCAATATAATCATTGAACTTCACGTTCTGAGATTACACGTTTCAACTTATGGATTCTCGATTTTTAATGAATGTCACTTATTCGGATAATAACCTACAGGACGAGTATCCCTAGTAATAAAGACTTTGTTAGAAATTTAATCATAGAAGTTTCTCAGAATTGAGTAACAATTGTCAATCTGTCAAATTTCTGCATCAATTTTTTTTTTATTTTAGGATAATTCACAATTGTTTCGAAATATTTTTGGTGAAAAATGACAAAAGTTTGAAAGACAATAATTTTAAAAAAATGGCATGTATGTGTGTGAGTGTGTGTGTTTGTTTGTTTTTCATTTTCCTTTCTGTCGTATTAGTTTATTTATTATTTTTGTTTTCATTATTTTTCTTTCGCTTTCTTATAGCCACGCGACACACGCACACATACTACTTTAAGCATATCATGGTCTTCATCTTTCGTTTCATATTCACAGAAAGTATTTTTTTGTTGTCTGACAATCTTCCTTTGTGTGGTTATGTGTATCTCATGTCATATGTTGACAATAAAACAAAGTAGAAGAGAGAGAGAGAGAGCGAGAGAGAGAGAGAGAGAGAGAGATAGAAAAAAAGAGAAGGTGAACATGTAAACTCCGGTTCAACAACCTTCACCACATTCCTGTTCGCAATGTGTATGTGTGTGTGTATATTATTGTGTATGCGTGCCTATGTTTTTTAAGAAAACAAATTGATAACAGTAATGCAAAAATCCATCTCTGTTACGAGTGTATGCACACGTTCAGAAAGTATTTCAACGGTATTATTTTATTTTGTTTCGACCTACATAGCGTATGACAAGACAATCAAACTTGTTTGTTTCTTTTTACGATACGTGTCTTGCTAAAATATCACAGTACTTGAGAAAACAATACATAAACGTGTTTCTCATCAAATTTTTGTTTTGTTTTGTTTTCTGTTTCTTTTATATCATTTTTTTGTTACTTTTTTTTTGAATCAGATTAGAAATCAAGAGCGACGGAACGCGTGAAATGAATATTTAGTCCCGGTTTGTTGTATGTAGACTTCTTCACGCACGCATCTGTGTGCGTGTATATATGTGTGTGTATGTGTAACACAAACAATTTTTGTGTTTCTTTGTTTATTTCTCAGGTATATTCTTCTTTCAGTGTTTCTATTTGTTCGTCTTATTTTTATTGTTTTTTGTTTGTGTATAAAATGGCACATACACTCTCTCTGTATGCTTGATGATAACGGGTATGAGATGTGAATATGTTCTTTTTATCTGTTGATTTTTGTCTGCAGTATTCTTTCCCACCTATTCATCTTTCTTCTTTCATGTTCACCTCCGCTCAAAATTCTTCCTGAATTTTTGTTTTTTTGTCTTCTGTGTTTTCTCTCTTTGTTGTTCTTACCACTATAAACATAATGATCGTATAGATTAAACAACAATTCTTATACATTGTCGTAAAAATAAAAAACAGAAAATTGATTATAATTTCATTTTAGCGATTTATCAGGTACACAGCAACGTACATCTGATTACTTCTAGTCAGCATTTTTTGTCATCAATCGCCTTTATGACAAAAATGCCATCAGCAACTGATTCATAAGTTATTTACAGTACAAACGGGTAGCTCACATTAAATGGGACAAGATCATTTTCGTTTTTTAAGTTACTTAGATACACTTCCAGAACTTCGTTTTATGATCATTCGATAGAGAATTGAATTCTTTACAAAACTTGCTATTTCAATCTCTGATAGCACTTTTCTTGTTTGAGTACCATTCAAAATATTGAATATTGGTTCAATAGTTAATTTTTCTAGGTAGAAGGATAGAGAACTTTGTGCTCTATGGATCTCACTCATTTACAATTTCATGCAGTGTTTTCGCTACGTCAACTGATCTTATAATTAGTTCTCAACCGGCTTTTCAATTTTCTCAAATTAAATTTATTTTCTTAATTAATGATTTCAATTCAGAAACTTTATTTATATATCAAATAATGCAGAATTTAATGCTGTGTAAGATAATAAGACTAAACCCTCGACCCTCAAAACGTCTTACTGCTTTCATAGCCAAAAAACTAAAGTCTGTGAAAAATAGGTTGAAAAGTAGAAATCTGCACGGGCAGTCCGTGCAGATCTCTATTCAAAAGTTAGGTTGTTTTAGATTTATCAGTTTATTTATTGCACTGAAAAATTTTCCTAGAAGACTTGGCTGCAAAATTTTGAAAAATATGTGAGGAGATGCAGAATTTTCCGATGAATCTTCTGATGTTTTCAAAATTCTTCTGGAATCTGTTTTCGAATCAAAGCAAATATTGTGCTATTTTCGGTATGTCGCAGTTCGAGAAGTTAGCACTATTCAATATTTTGAATGGTACTCAAACAAGAAAAGTGCTATCAGAGATTGAAATAGCAAGTTTTGTAAAGAATTCAATTCTCTATCGAATGATCATAAAACGAAGTTCTGAAAGTGTATCTGAGTAGTCCAAAAAAAGAAAAATGATCTTGTCCCATTTAATCTGAACCACCCGTTATACTATCCATGGAGAAATTTTAGTATATAAAATGGCGTGTACACCTGTGAATATCGTGAAATGAACTGTGATCGGACGTGAACATCATAAAATGGTGTGCGGGCACGTGTGAAAAATATATTTCACTTGTGACAACAGTGAACTGTTTAGGGAAATTTTTCGCGTCATATTCGTCGCAATTGGTTACTGATAGAGAAAAAAGGTATGTGGACACGTGAAAAGAAATTTTCGCTTGTGACGCGTGTGAAATTATAAAAAGTTCACGTGACCTCACATTTGATGTTGCAACTGCATGACCCCAACGTCGTGAAACGTCGACAAAATTTCCTCATGCGGCTGCAGCAGTTGCCATGGGCCTTAAAACACAAACACTTTAACAAATTTTGTTAAAAGCATCTCAAAGATTAATTTGCAAATAGTTCTGTTATACTAACTGTTTTATTTTCAAAATGATATGAAAAATGCGACGTAAAAAACAGATTTTTCAAGAAAAATGAAGTATTTGTTAACAATATCACCGCATCTTATGCAGGTCATATTTTATTGTTACTGTTTCTTCTATTTTCCGAAACCTATTCATTCTTGATTTTTAATAGATTTTGTCACTGGTTCATCTTTTCGATCATTATACCTTGTATTGCATATCCAGTCCCATAAAGGCCAATACAGTCCATAATTAAAATTATGTAAACGTCCCTTCCCTTTTGAATGATGAGCATAATGATGATTCAAATCACCAATTCGGCCATCATGTGCAGCAACTATAAACATAATAAAAAATTCAGCCTTTTCGAAGTCTTTGGTACCGAATAGGCCCGTTATATTAGAGAGAGAAAGAGAAGAGAGAAAACACACCCATCGGTCTCTCTAGTCTAATCTAATATGACTGATTGCTATTCTGGATCACTTTGCACTTACTTGCATAACAGGACGTGAATAATCCGAAGAATGCTAAAGCAATTGGATGAAATGGAAAGAAGATGGCTGCCACATAATGTCCCATGGCTCCTTGTACTAAACCTTCGAGTGGATGTACAGCATCTTGACAAAATGCCGATGGAGCTTTGAATGCATGATGGACAACGTGAATTTTATCCCATAGATAAGATGATTCGTGTAATGCCCGATGTGTCCAATAAAACCATGTGTCAAATACTAGACCATAGACAATAACATTTAATAGAAACCACATTAGAGAATAGGAACGTTTAACAAAAAAATCAGAATACCATAAATATGGTTCAACAAAATACATCCAATTTACAGCATACGTTGTATTAACTAAATAAGAGAAACACTTCAATTATTGAAACTATACTAAAAGTCTATTACTTACTTATCATGGCCACAATTCCTAAACCTAATTCTTTCCTTATTTGTCGTTTTCTTCGATTTCGCTCTTCATCGTTCAAATTTTTCGATGCAAATCCTTTTGGATTTGTATATTCGAGAATACCAGCTGTCATCATATATTGAAATGTATAAGAACAAAATACAAAAAAATTAACGATAATATAATCATTTGTACTTTTCATTTCTAATAAATGTGATGAAAAATTTCCATTTAATTTTACATATGGCCATGAAATAGCGGCTCCCAGTGATAAAAGTGATAGAAGACCAGCAATCCATGTACCAATATGAACATCGAGCATCAATGATAGACTATCATGAAGTTTAAGATCATCTAGTTCACCATCCGTTTGCACCTCGTGACAGGCTCGTGTTCTCCATTTCATTTTTAAATAGAAAGAACAGTTCAATAAGAAACTTCAGTCAATAAGGTAATGTTTTTTCTATGGTTTAGAATTATTGCTGTTATACGTGTGTATTTAATGAATAGTTGAACAAACATCTATTGTTATTAAGTTCTTCTATTTATAAAACGAACTACATACGCATAAAATAAATTTTGTTCTATGTCAATATTAGGATGAATCAGATGTGTTCTATGTAATCAGCCATTTACTGCGGATATTTCATGCTAGAGTATGATAGTGTATTTATTCTAAGCTTTCTTTCTTCATATAAATGTCTTTGGATGTCTTAAATACAGAAGAACTAAATGTCGACGAAGAAACGAAAAAAGATATAAAATTTTTAAAATGAAAAAGATTTGTTTCTGTGTATATGAAACGTTATAATCCAGATTAAAAATGATGCTGTGGAGAACTCACGATATCGAACCTATCATTATCGTTGATCTTTACAGATTGTGTACAGAAAAAGCGGCAATGTTAAAACAAAACCGGAAAATAGCTATAGACTAACTATATAATGTGCAAATATAAAAGAATCAAAGTTTGTTCGCTACTTCTGGTACTCAATACATGTAGGTTTTCGTGATCAAATCATGGTGTTCTAAGTGTGTCGAAGCTAAGTGATCGATATAGAGAGTAGTCTAAAGACATATATCGATACTATGTCAACAACAGACACATAATGAGCTAAGATTAATTTAATCTATTTTTAACATTAAAGAATTATCTACGATTGTGAGAAATACAACCATTAAAGATGAATATCATAATCAATAAAATGGATAAAACTGTTTGTAATATAGATAAATGTCTTTTTTAAATGCTTTTATTGCAAAAATTCAGTTATTGAATATGTTCGTTCACTGATGTACTTTTTTGCGACAATAACAAAATCTTTTCAAAAAGTTGAATATCGTGAAGAAAAAACTACAGCTTTTGCACAATAGCGGAAAGGTACTTTTTGCCCAAAACAGTAGATCTTATAGGTTATCGACTATGATGAATACGAAAAAACACTTCCACGACACTGGATAAACTTTATTTTTCTATCAATGATATGCTCTGAAAAATCTTTCTACGGTTGTACTAACTTTAAAGACTTAACCCTTTACCCCCCCTTGGTCACTGGAGTGATCATTTGTAGATCGATGACAAAAAATTAAAAAAGGATCGAATTTAAAAACTTTGGGGAGATGTCGTGTAGTGAACGCCATAAGCTATCGATTGGTAAAAAAAAGTATTTTGTTTCGTTGGTTTGTCTCCGAAAAAGATGAATTACAAAATCGATGACTTTTGAAAAATCACAAAAATTGGATTTTTTCGAAAAATATTTTTCC